TTCGTCAGCCTCTTCCTCGTAAAGGTCCGCAATTCTTTTAGTCAGTAACTCTTTCGATCGTGAGTCAGTGGTAACAGCGAGGCCATTGATCCAGTCCTCGATCCGGCTTAGGAGATCTTGGAGCCTAGTGGGGGGCGGGGAGTCATCTTTCTTTTCTTCATCTAGCGATCCTTCGCTAATACACCCTTCACACCAGTCACCTCTACTTGAAGCTTCAGCCTTTACGAGGAAGTATACGGCTCGTCGCACTATGGCTCGCCAAGGGTCCGACACGATACCGCGAGAGTCCAGCAACTCGTACTCGGTTTCACCGAGTTCGGAGGGCCTTTTGGGGGAACTCCCCAGGGTTAGCGCGATATTGTCTTCCACTACAGAGGGGTCCGCGGGACACTCTTCTCCTGGTAGAGGAGGAACTCTCAGCTCCGGGAAGTGCACTACCGTCTTCGGCGCGTCCTGCCACGAGAACCTCTTCGTCGCGGTCCCTCCCCCTTCGTCGCGGTAATCGGAGTCGTCCGACGTCACAGAGTTGATCCGTACCCGCTTTTCCTCTTGGAAATTACGGTTGGCTCGCTTCGCTTCTCCGGACGAGGCTAGTGGCTTTTGGAACCATTCCAACCAGTACTCGGGAGTAGATAGTCGACCGGGGAAGGAATCTCGGGTCCTCGCTAGTTGTTCTTCGGGAATGCCTAGTAAGTCACTCAACTCGGCAAGAGACAATTCCTTCGATTGTTCCGCATTCTCAACTAACCGGCGCTTCAGTTCGACTTCATCGAGAGGAAACAGTCGGTCTTCGAGCTCTTTGTCATATTCTTCTTTCTCTTCAGCCAGCTCGGAAGGCTTACCTTCTTCCAACGTATCTAGTTCCTCTTTGGTGAACACCCTCGCGAAGGAAGGCTCCTTCTCCGGTTCATTCTTTGGGGACTTAGTACTGGCGACGTCCTCAGAGTCCTTTTCGGAGGCGTCGTCTCTCTCAGGAGGGGTCACTTCTTTCTCCTGCCCGCGTGGGTCCGCCTTTGGTACTGGAACACTAGCTTTGGTAGCTCCATATTGTTCTCGGGTTGGGCTTTCGAGTACCTCCGTCACGTCTGGGGTTAACTCCTCCTGTATAGAGCCGTTATTGGACTCACCTTTTTCCTCGTCTTGATCGAGCACGCTCGAAACCACACTCTTGTGGTTCGTTGACGTCGACGGGTAGTCTCGTTCCGTCGAGGACGCCTAAAGTTGCGGCTTTTCCGTCTCTCCTTCCTTGCTTAGTTTTTCGTTCGTTGTTTCGATCTCGCTCTCTTGGTCATCTCTCGTAACCACTCTTAGGTTCGTATTGGAGCGTTCGTCGACGTGCGCAGCTATTGCGGGACCGTCCCATACGGGTCCCGAGCCTACCTCTTTTACAAACGCTTCTCTCTCCGTCTTCCAACAGTCGTTGGGGTTTGAGACTACCGATACCCCGTTCCACACGGGCGCCGTACGTCCTTCATGCTCAAACGGCAGTATTTCTTCAGTTCTCGTCATATGTTCATTGCTTACGCTCGTTTCATTTCTTTCCGGTAAGGCGGAACTCATCCCACCTCCAACAGGACACCACTTCAATCCCTCTTGGTCGGCTCATCCGCCGGAATTTCAAAAGTGTTCCCATATGTGTTGTCCCATAACCAAGAGGGAAGGAGGCGACATTCCCTTCTCTTCCTTCTCGCCCCCATCATTGCTGGCTGGGAGCTTGCCCTAGGACAGGTCCCACCGTTGCCCCTGCCGGACCGCCAAGTCTCTTCAGTGCCGTCTTTAGAGGGCACTCCGCCAACATGTGACCCGATTCATCACACAGGAAGCACTTGCGTCCGTTCCTCGGCTGGGTGTTCCGGAATCCGCTAGGAGGGTCACGCTCACATTCAGGACCGATGTGGCCCACTTCCTTACAGTGAGGACAGGTGGCTTTGCCGCGGCGACAGTGAATACGACTACACCCCAGAGTGTGACACCGACCGCACACGAGAAGACCATCTTGGGTTCGCAAGTCCGGACCCACACGAACGCCCCTGATAGGCGTAATAGGAAGCGTTCCGATAGGCTGATAGTGCAGAGAGGGGTTCGGATCAGGAGGAGAGTAGGCAGCAGCTACATTCATCGCTGGGGAAGCATAGGCGGTCGTCAGAGGACGCTCCATCAACTGCTGTTGCTGTTGAAGTTGTTGCTGTTGCTGCTGAGCGAGTAGATTCTGCGTCTGCTGCATCATGTTCATCATGCGTTCGAGGACAGCGTTCTCTTGGGAAGCTTTAGGGGACGGCACATTGTCGAACTCGGAGTCGTCTTCAACCGGACGGTGCATATTCTTAAGGAGCAGCATGGCCACAGCCGCAGGGATGGAGTCAATCATTGTCGTTGTGAGGGCGTTCCTCCAATCTCGGTTCCGAAGTCCAGACAAGAAGTACTGGTAACGCATCTGAGTGTCGTAGCACTGAGCATCATCGCAGAGACTTGAAATCATGTCGCCCCACACTTCGGCGGACATTCCCCGGGGTCGTTTAGTGTTCTTCAGATTCTCAATCAGTTGCAAAGGGGTCTGACTGATGAACTGGTTGTGGAACCGAGTTCTCAGAGCCTCAAAGCTGTTGATGCGCGAGTACATCCACCAATCTTCGCCGACCTTGCCTTTCAAGCACTCCCTGAAAGCGCTGAGACGCAGGGGTTCGTCCAGCCCTATCGTGGCGTTCTCGAAGGCCTCCCAGAAGGATCTAGCTTTCTCCACCGACGCTCCTTCCGAGTAAAAGGGTTGGAGCATGCGAATTGCGTTTCGGATGTTAGTGGGCATACCATACTGGCCACTAGTAGTCGAAGGCGTATTACCATACGTAGGCGAGGAGTAGTAGGAGTTACCTCCATATTCCTCATACGCAGGACCCTGGTGGGTTCCGGCAGAAGCCGTAGTTCCTCCGTTTCCTTGTGAAGCTCGGGTTGTTCTCGTAGGGTCGACTCCGTACGCGACTCCACTGGTAATCGAAGTTCGAGACCCCAGGCCTTGGGTAGGAATTTGAACGGTAGGCGACGAGACCTCGAAAGGAACCCTCTGAGGAACGGGGACGGTTACCGCTGGAGCGTTCTCCCCGCCTCCTCGCAAGTTACCGGAGGGCTGGAGACCCCAAGGAGGAGCGTTAGAGGTCCTCGGAGGAATACTTGCCGGGGAAGCACGTCCACCGTTTTCAGGGACAGTTGGTAGGGAGAAGAACGGGTTGAAGTCCTGTCCATATGACGTATTTGGGGTTCGGATTGTGAAACCTTGGTACGACGGGATTGCAGTCCTTACTCGAGACGTAGGAGGGGGAGTCCCCACAAGACCGTTTCCACCAGTTCTCTCCATAGCGGCGGCGATTTCAGGGGGAGCCATGGATCTCAACCAGTTGAGGGAGTTAAGCCAGCCTTGCACCGTACCTCGGCCGCCTCCGCCGTTCAGGGTCAGCATCGAGTCCAACTCTTCCGAAGTGAAGGTAGCAGGGACCCCGGAGCCCAAAGCGTCCGCGGGTGGCTCGACACCAGCACTAGAGTTGTTCCCCCCAAGTGGGTAAGCCGCTTGGTCTATTATATTCTGCACGTTTTGGAGGCCTTGCGTAGTCGACAGACTGGGTCGCATTCTCGAAGGCAGACTCTCGGTCGGGCCTTCTTCTTCCCGGACAGTGGCGCTCTCATCTTCTCTGCTGTTAGTAGCCGACATCTTGTCCTTCCTTCTGACGTTCTCTGCGAGACTTCACTTGGAGCAAGACCTTCTCCAGCTAGCAGACTACCCTGCTTCTCCACCAGATGTCGTATACCTCCTCTTCCTTCGAGGGTCGGGTAGTCCGCGGCTGTTCAGGGAGTACGGTCTTGTTCAGTGGCTGCAGGAACGGTAGATAGGAACACTAGAGAGTTGAAAATAAAAGTTTGTTGATTGGCTTGGCTTCCTCTTGAGTAGAAGGAGGGAAATATAAGACTGAGAGCTAGCCGGAAGAGAGGCCTAACACCTTCTCGACCTTACATACACTACACTACATATAAAAAAAGGAAGGATTCACTTCGTTTGTTGTCGGCCTTCGTGGGACAACGGAGAGCCTCTGGGAAAGGGCTTGATGTCGCGAGGTGCTTTTGGTCCCCCGACGCCAAGACTCCGGCGTTCAGGGGTCCCCTTATAGTACCACCCTAACGGGCTCGGTCAAGGGTACGTGCGAGGTTGGGTTCAACGGGAACCACCCTGACGGGACGGCGGGGCGAGGAGTGATTCCAGGGTCTCGGGTCATCCCGACGGGAGGCAGAGCTCCTGGAATGACCCCTCCGTTCCCGGGTACGGGACATAACCCACTCCCCCTATTTGGGCTCGTAGCTGCGACGAGTGTTGCGTGCGCGGCGCTTGAGACTGTCTGCCACAGCTTGTTGGACGACGCCTTGCACCGCAGCATTGTTCTGAGAGACGTATTCGCTGCCATCGGCAAATTTTGAATGAATGGCTGCACAGGGTGGCGCCCCCTCGCGACTTTTTTTCTCCTCGCCCCCTCTCCCATAATGTCAAAACATGCTTTCACACTTGCTTGTCAAGCGCTCAACAGTCGACCTCTACTTACTGATACTGTACTTACTCACCTAACCGCAGCAAACATATTCTGTGTCTGCTTTCCTTTCGCTCTAAATGTCCAACGAAACAGAGGTGTTATCATGCTTTTTTTGACCTTTGTAAATAGAATTGGGGATGGTGAGAGCCATCTAATTGTTAGAAAATCATTTCACTGTCCTTTCCCGCGAAAACCACATAAATCTCGTCAGGACTTCTGGCACAACATTCTGCCGCACACTGCCAATATAATAAAATTGGTTACGAGCTAAAGCTATCCTCCCAGTAATATATTGGAAAATACTACAGTAAATCCATTAAAACCTCATAGAAAAATGGTACATGTACTAGTACTTCGACAAATCGAAACGTAGTTCACACCGATACCCGCGAACCCAGATAAGTTAGCCTGCTGCTTTCAATAGTAGACGCATTAGTAGCCACTCTGCATCACCACTAGAAGCTGCTCCTGCAGCCGTTGCTTGATAGCGAAGTAGAAACGCAGATCTGCCTCCAAAGATTGTTTGTAGCTATCACTGACGTTCCCCTCGACACTTGATAGCCCACGGTGACACCGATCAATGTTCTCATTCACTTTTCGCAGTCGGCTCTCTAGGATATCCCACTCATCAGGAGGCAACATCATGTCGGTCGGACGAGTTGCTAGAGCTGTCGAGATCGTCGTTGTTGTCGTGTGCACTCGTTTATTACCAGAGTGAGAAATGATATCGCTCACGACTGGAACCTCAACTATCGAAGTGTTCCCTTGTTCACGTGGTCTCTTTCCGAGTGATTGTGTCTGCACTGCTTTATCACCAATCGATGACTTCTTGAGGGCAGGCTTGGTTGCCGCTTCCGGCTTAGCGAGCGATGCTGGTTGTTTCTCCATCGGCGGCGACGCCTTCGGCTTTGTTTCCTTACCGAAATCAACAATAATCGACGCCTTCGGCGTTGATCCTTGAGCTAATGGGGCAGAAGTGGCCGGGGTCTTACCTTTACCTCCAGTTTTCTGAGCCTTCTTCACGGCGGATGGCCTTTGCGGTGAGTTTCCTTCTGGCTTTGCCTGCTTGCTTTTAGCTTTAATAGTTAACTTGTTGACTTTGGCTGCAGCCGTCTTCGTTGTTACGGATCTCTTAGCCATGGCGGGCGAGAGAGGTTCTTTCATCTCCGGATTCTGTGTGAGCACTCCGGACGATTTCAACTGAGTAAGGGGATTCGCCACCGCTGCTTTGCTCGGAGCAGGTGTAGAAGCCACGGCCTCCTTGGCGGTAGAAACTGGAGCCGTAGATATAGCCTTCGCTGCCGCCGCCTTAATCGCTGCCCCTGGCTTACTATCGGCAGTTTTTGCTTGTATAGCTTCAGTAGCATTCACCACTGCCTTGGGCTTAGTCTTAATTTTGCTAAAAGGCTCCGCATTAGAGAGTTTGTCTGACATGACAAAGTCGTAAAGCTTGGGCTCCAGCAGCATGGCCATGTGCAGATACAGCAGGTCCAATCTCCCAGCGCAAAAATCAAAGAACGAGTGAGCGTTGTCGTTGTGAGATGCCGCCTCTTTGGCTTGAGCCACGGCGTTGCGGTACATGATGACTATCTCGATCCACATCTGCAGCAGTCGCGCGGCCGAGTGTCCGAGGATAACATTGGGCGTGACGTTGACGAAAAGGGCGTCCTGGAAGTGCAATCCATCCAGCGCAGAGTTCTGCGCCATGAAGGCGGCGTGGACGTCCATCCAGAGACGGTTCACCTCCATCTTGCCGCCGCGTGAGATCATTTCGTTCCAGCGCCGCTTGAATTCTGGGCTCAGCAGTACGTTGATGAGGCGGAAGCGGCAGCCACGACGCGCTCGACTGACACGAGTAGAGGCCATCTGAGTCTGGTGCTTGTTCTGAGTCCGTCGAGGTGATGTCCGCCTTGGAGTCTCGGGGGTCTGCGTTTGCGCCTGGTCCCAGTCGCGCAGGAGGTGAATGAAGCCCACGCGAGTATTTAGGCACTGTCCGGAACGAGGAACACGTATGTGGCGCACGGACAACTCGTGGCGCAGGTCCGCGTACAGATACCTCTCGTACGGCTCGTGCAGCTCGGAAGCCGGCGGCATAAACGACTTTCTTTTTGTAAAGAAGGCGGGAAAACCCCAGTTGGCGATGTGGAGAAATGTGACGAGCCCCATACAGTACTACACCCCGTTTTCGCAGTAGTGAATAATACCGGGTTTGCAAATAAATCATATTTTAGCGTAACCATTAGAGTTTATTTGGATTTAGGATCATCACATCTAGAGGTTTAGATTGCAGTACTGTATAAATACCGACAGAATGTGCAACTGCACTGTCATTGGTCAATAAGGTGCATTCGTGAGTTTCATTAGCTGTAACTACAGACGGAGAGATGGATGGCCACCTTGGTGTTTGTCATTGCGAAGGGCGGCAAGGATGCGAGTGACATAGGCCGCGTAAATTCCGTCAATGGCAACGTCGCTGGTGAACCCCGAGCGTACAAACGTAGCAACGGCGTCCCAGAATACCTTGCGACGAGAATACGCAAATTTGTTGGCGCCGCGATCTAGCACTGACTCGAACCTACACTAGACTCAAGTCAAAAGCCCTTCCGTACACTCTATTTACGAAATGCACACCGATCTGGGACCGCCGGGGGAGCGGCCGCCTGGAAGGGGAGCCGAGCCGCCGGACCCAGGGCGAGCTACGGAAGCAAGGGGACAGCTAGGGGGCGAGCGGAGGCCAGCTGCACCTGAGCCTACGCGCATGACGCAAGACTCCATAGTGGAGGAGACTCAGCAATCGCAGGAGACAATAGTGTCGGACGACGCCGACGACCCAGTGGTAGCGGCCAGCAGCGTGACGCCGGCAGAACAAGATGAGGGCACGAGGCGAGGAGGGGAGGACCAGGAGGCTCCCGAGGTCGCACAAGCCTCAGCGGCAGATCAAGATCAGAACCAGCAGCCGACCATCCCAGAGATCGGCTCAGCGGAGCTGTTTCAGGCAGTGATTCAGGCGGTCCGAGACGGGGGGCAGGGAGCACCACGAGAAGCCTGGTTAAAGACAGTGGCGCAACTATTCGAGCACACGCATGCTACAGTGACTATCG